TATCAGACTGACTTTCTGCCCCTGCCAAGGAGAGTTACTTTGTTTGTGTTAAGTGACTTTGAAGATTAATAAGTAACAGGATAGGCACACATGGATTTATAGTATTAAAAATGCTTAAATGTTTTTTGCATGTGTGTACTTTGGAAAATAAAATTGGACATGACCCTCTTGTCCAACATTGATTGCCCTAAGAGACAGACAGACATTCTGTGTCTCTGATTAAGGCTTCAGTAAATATTTGGTGTCTGTAGTGACCTCTTGCTGACAAGTAGTGTGTTTAGGTCTCTTGAACTGTCTTGAGTAGCTGGTGCTCTATTTGAGGGAGAAGGCCTTAGCCTATGCAGCCCCCAGGCTTTGCTGCCTGCCAACCTCCCTTTAAACATAGTAAAAGTGCCCCAAGCTCAGACTGCTGCAGAGGCTGGCAGTGAGCACAGAGGTTTAGGCTGGCAAGTGTCAATGCCAGGAGACAGAAGTGTGAGCAAGTCATACCAAGTCCTTGAATCTGAGTCTGCAGTGCTCTCTGTCCTGGAAACTGTTATAACTTATAAAAGAAATCAGCCTCATAGGAAGGAAGGTTGACATGAAATTACCCCTCAGATGCGCTTCATCAGGAGAGAGAGTATTCCAACCATGGGCACCCATGACTGATCAGGCCTTGAAGTGGGAGAGGATTAGGAGAGATAGCTGTCTTGGGGAGTGTGATGGGGGTCCTGAAGGGAGACACCCTTCAGTTACTAGAGCATTAGGAGAGTTTGTAATACCAGGGGCAGCATGATGGGGCCTTGAGGGGAGAGAGAGCCTTTAGTCCCCAGGTTTGGACACCAATATGTTATAACATAAAGAAAGCAGGCTCTGGCTGGTGGTATGACTCCGCAGGTAAAGGCACTTGCTGTGCAAACCCAGCTACCTGAGTTGATCCCTGGAACCCCTGTGTAAAGATGTAAGGAGGGAACTGACTCCACAAAGCTGTCCTGTGATCTCTACATGTGTGCTATGGTGCATGTATGCCCTCCCTGTGACACACATACACACACGTTATAAAAAGTGGTTCATAGAAAGGGGTGCTGACATGAAAATGCCCTTCAGAAGACCTTCATTAGGAGAGTTATGTATGCACAGTCATGGTCAGTCATGAGGCCCCAAAATGGGAGCTGTTAGGAGGATGAACATCATGCCATAGGCAGCAGGCTGGGCTCTTGAAGGGAGAATCTTCAAGTCTAGAAGGACAACTGGAGCTTCTGGCTCTTACAGATTTTCATAGGAGGGCAGGAAAAGGTTCCATGTGGCATCCTGTGTGGCCCCTGGCATGGGGAAAGGCCATGACGAGAATGAAGTTGCAATTTCAGGTTTTCTCAGGCTGGGGTATTGGCTGGGCCTGCTTGCAGCTGCAAGGCAGAGGGACAAGGCCACAGGTGCACAGTGCAAGGGCACAGGACAGCACATGTTCTTATCAATGCTCCGTCCAGGAGAGACAGACCGCGAGAGGTGTGGCCTGGTTTCTGGGAGAGAGAAGGGCAGCTTCGGAGTCTGTATTCTAGCAGACACTGGAGTGCATGTGTGTCTGTCTCTACATTTCTTTTTCATTTTTATTTTATGGTATGAGTGCATTGCCTGTATGTATGTATGCAATGGCTCAGTTGAAACCCTGAACTGGAGTTGTGAATAGTCATTAGCTGCCACGTGGCTCCTGGGAATCGAACCCAGGTCCTCTGCAAGAGCAGCTAGTACTCTTAACCACTGAGCCATCTTTCCAGCCCCTGTACATTTCTCTAAGATACATATGTTATTGACACTTAACTATTTCGTATGTTTGAAAGCCAGCAGGATCGTAGTCACAAAAACAGGCTAGGTATTTTAAGCAGGGAGATTTTTTTAAAAAATAATTTTTTGAGAATTTTACATATGAGTGTTGCCTTTGCATTATTTCCTTCCCTCCCAGTCCCCCACCAAGCCTCCCATGTCCTCCACTCCCTCTTAATTTCTTGTCTTCTTCTTTGTTTTTTTTTTTTGGGGTGTGTGTGTGTGTGTGTGTGTGTGTGTGTGTGTACATGCGCACATGTATACATGTGGAGGCCAAGGTCAACATCACATGCCTTCGTCAATCTCTCCCCTTTGTTTTTTGAGCTAGGGTCTCTCACTGACTCTGGAGCTAGATTTAGTGGTACTCACGTGTACCTGTGTTCAGGGCTGTCCACTTGGGACTAGATAACCTCTCAGGCAATGGACTCTGGCTAAAACTGATTCTCCCTTCCTCAGCACCCATTATTGCCTGTAGCTCTTCATCTAGAGGTGGGACCCTGTGATAGTTCCCCATCCACCTTGGTGTGTCAGTTGGTTTTATCATTATACAGATACTGTGGACATTTCATTGGCACAGCGTCCCTATCATGTGTAGCCTTCATTAACTAGCAGCAGGGGTCTTGTCCTTCCATGATCTCCCCTGAGCCTTAGGTGTAGAGGTTGCATTGTAGATGTGTCCCTTAGGGCTGGACACCTCACATTCACTTATTCTCCGTGTTTGACCAGTTGTGGAACTTTGTAATAGTCTCCATCTGTTGCAAAAAGAAGCTTCTTTGATGAGTGGTGAGAGATCTACTTGTCTCTAAATATAAGGATACGTATTTAGACTATAGACAGAAATTATGCTCATCCAGGGATATAACAAAAGTAAGTTTTTCTCTAAGGTCCATGCCATCTCCATCCATGTGTACTTGGCTGTGTTTATAGTACCACACATGATTTCCCTCCTATTGAGTGTGCCTTGAGCCAATCAGACAGCTGTTGATGACCCCCAATATAAAAGTGCCACTATTGTACCAATAGAGATAATTTGCTAGGATGGCCAATGTTGTGGTTCGTAGACTTTACAGCTGGGTAGGATCAGTGATTGATTTTCTCCCTTGACAGTGTGCATAGTGTCCTCTGACACCATGAGAGCCAGTCTTCTGGAGGCTTCCAGGTCAGTGCCAGCTCCATTGCTCCAAGTCCTGTGTCTGAAGTATGTCCTGTCTTCAGCAATAGGGTCTTCCCTCAAGTTCTGGGAGGAAATCAAGGGCTTTGGCAGTAGCCTGTCTTGTTTTGGAAGTCTCTTGGATGACCCTGAGCAATAACTCAGAGGCGGGTTTCTAAGCAGAGAGAGATTTAATAAAGGGATTGTATCTCACAATTTTGGAAGGGCTAGAAGAAGAGAGGAATGAGGAAAGACCACTGCAATCCTGGTGGTCAGCCCTGTCCCGTTGGGCGGCCGGCGTCATCGTCCCCACCCCTGTGCCTGTGGGGTCAGATCTCTGCCTGCACATGGACTGCAGGCACTGACTGACTTCTTCACCAGCCATGTTGTCACTGCCAGGATGGGATCAGCAGACACTACCAAGACCAGAAGCAGAGGCCCTCGTCCTGCCTTCTGATCACGTACCAGCTCCCTATACCTAAACGGATCCCACCTGACAGAGGATGGTGAAACGTGTATCTAAACCTGCTCCATGGCATGCAGAAAGCACAGGAAAGCAGCCAGTCTCTGGACTGTACGTCTGAGTGGTTTAGAAAACGTTGCTAGCCATCTTTTCAGTGAATGTGTTCATGGTTGTGAACCCTAGGCCAGCTGGCCTGTGAGCCTCTGGGGATCCTCCTGTCTCCTCTCATCTTGCCCTGGGACCCTCAAGGAGTAAAGACATGTGTCGCCACATCTGGCTTTACATGAGTTCTGGGGATCCAAACTTGGTCCTTGTGTTTGAGTGGCCGAGCCAAGTCCCCGCGCCTAGCCTCTAGTCTATTTTGTTAAGTAACAAGATCAGTGGTTGTAGAAGCAAGACAAGAGGTTGAGTCTTATGAATAAATAACACAGTTTTCTTGTGCAAAAGTATTTGTGATATCAATAACAATTCTGATTCCCATGACATTGACGTTCCCTTCCGGTACGTCTGAGGCAGAGGTCTTCAACATAGGATAAGCACGACCCTTGGAGAATAATGCAGGGCATCACGGGGCCTGATTCCTAAGAGAATCAGTATTTGAATCCTTAGCTCACACGTGTCCTCTTTCCTTTAAGATGATCCACCTGAGAATAAGCCTTTTGTAGCAGAGGAATTTGAAATCTCTCCATTCTTATGACAAAGCACTGACTGAGGTTTTAAAACCTGTGGGGAAGAAAGTGACTCATGATGTGTTTAAATAACTTTTTGCAAGTCTTACAGTTTTCATTTCTTTTTTATAGTAAAATTGTACAAGGGCTTAAAAATGACATGTTGGCCATTAGAAAAGTGAAAATAACTTTGATGGAAGGTCAGCATGGGAATCTTGGAATTGCACAGATGTCAAAGAACTGAGTAACATTTCTGCTACTTTCTCCATCCCCTGCATTTGTTTATACACATGAGATTTCTTGGATCCTAGATTTGTAAAAATGAGAAACAGAAATCCTGGCTTGATCTGAGAATGAGCCATGTTCATTTACAGATTGCAGGGCCTACTACGAAAGACTTAACTTTCTTAGGAAAACACAGAGCATATTTCTGAAAGAATTTTACACCTGTGTAGTGATCAAAGTTTATAGTATTATGTTTTTCCAATTATGATCTGAAAATATTAATAATTACAACTCAGAAAAAAATCTAGTAGACTTGTCACAGGACGATTTTCAAAATTAAATGTCAATTTCAGTACACCTCACTGCATGTAGAAGTGTGGCGATGAACTCATTGTACTGGATGGTGGCAGGTATCACCATGCCATTTACACATTATTGACACACACAATAGATTGATGTCACATTATTTTAAAATGTCACCAGTCATACTATATTAGAAATTCAAGCCCTTACAGTTATGTAACCTGATAAAGAAAATACATATATATGTGTGTACACATGCATGTGATACATTTCTAATTTCTTTTGAGGCACATGTAAGCAAGAATGTTGCAAGGATGGTTGATCTATATAAGAGTAAGCTGTTCTGAGGATGAACCTCTCCAGGCATCTCCATGTGTTTCTCTGTTCCCAGTTTGACCTTGTCTGTGTCAATGCATGGATGTTGGACCTCACCCAAGCCATCCTCAACTTTGGCTTCCTGACTGGGGCATTCACCTTGGGCTATGCAGCAGACAGGTGGGTATGGACAAGATAATTGGTTACATCACTGTAACATACTGCATACACATGGGGGGGGCGCTTTGTATTAAATGTCACATACGTGGCGAGAGGAATACTTTGTATTAACTGTTGAGGGGTCTTTTGTCAATTTGAAAGCAAAATTTTGATTCCTCCACTCATGACAGTCACACTTGTTCGATCTGATGAATTCTTTCCCTCTCAAACTTCATGTCTTGGTGGGAAAGTGAAGCTGCCTTGTGCGTCCGAAAGCCTCTGGGTGAGAGCATACGCCTGCAGGGCAGTGGTATCATGGCTGAAGTGACAGGTGACTGCTAGATATTAAGGGGTGGATTTGGGGTACCTCAAAAATAATTCAGGGGTCGTTATTTAATTAATTTACTAATAAGGGCAGCAATCCAAATTCGTTTCACTTAATTAAAAAAAGAAATCCCTTTATTTTATTCTACAAATTTAAAGTCATGAAAAATTTTCCCCAAACCACTGAAGGCATGTTTATTAACATTTCATTTTCTTTTCTCCAGGGCTAAGATTCGAAATTAGGTTACAACTGTCAAATTTTTATTTATTTTAGTTTTACTTTCCTTTTATTGTTTGTTTTGTCTTTTTGGTTTTAGACAAGGTCTGACTATGTAGGTCGGACTAGCCTCAAAGCCACAATCCTTCTGCCTCCACCTCCTGAGTGCTGGGATTACAGCCATGTACCATCACAGTAGCTATTTTGACTGTAACTTAAAGAAAAAAAGTTTTTTTGGTTGTTTTTTGGTTGTTTGTTTGTTTGTTTGTTTGGTCTTTTTGAGACAGGGTCTCCCTGTAGCCCCAGCTGGCCTGGAACTGATATGGAAACCAGGCTGGGCTTGATCTCACCAGCGATCCACCTGTATTGAATAGCTTTAGTGTCAACTTGACACACCTGGGTTGAGGGAGCCTCAATTGGAGAATTGCCTCTATTAGACTGGCCTGTGGCCATGTCTGAGGGGCATCTTCTTGATGAGTGATGTGGGAGGGCCCAGCCCACTCCTGGGCAGGTGGGCCTGTGTTGCATAAGAAAGCAGGCTGAGCAGGGGCCAGGGGAGCAAGCCAGTAAGCAGCGTTCCTCCATGGCCTGTGCTCCAGCTCCTGCTTCCAGGTTCCTGCCCTGAGTTCCTACCTTGGGCTCCCTGATGAACTGTGACCTGGGAGATGTAAGCTGAATAAACCCTTTCCTCCCCAAGTTGGTATTGGTCAGAATATTTTGTCACAGCAATGATGAACAAACTAGGACACCATCTACCTCTGCCTCCCAAGCGCAGGGACTAAAGATGTGTGCCACCACGCACACCTTAAAGTTTTGGTTTTTTTTTTTTAATGGATTTCGTTTCTTATGTATTCTTATCCTGCATGATCAATAAACATATCTCCTAAGATAACTTAAGAAGTGACCCAAACTCTGGTCAGGGACTGAGGTTCTGACTTAGTTCTTTGGCAAGAGTGAGCCAGACTTGAGAGAAGGAGCTGTAAATAATTCACCTCTGTAGGCACCGAGCACCTTTGGACCTTTTCTTATTCTGTGACTGTGATTTATATTCCTGAAGGAAGGAGCAAGAAATATTTTAATAGGCTATATTCCTACGAGAGGATAGTAGAGTTGAGGGTTGGGAGGGGCAGATTGGGGCTTCTAAGTTCTGATTCAATGAATGAAGATCTTAGAAGCTGCCAATCAATCATAAGTATAAGGCTAAGTAAACTGTAAAATCAGCAGCTCTTCTTAGATCTCTAAGAGATGTGAGGTCACAAGGCAACTGCTGTTCCCCCAAATCAGAAAAATAGGTAGATACAAGTAACTGACACTTAACTTAGCAGAAGCTTCAGGATTAGGAAAACCTGAACTGAATTGCTGGACTGTTGGAGCCTTAGTATGTGAACAAGTCTAAGATTGAAAAACCCTAGGGCATAACCAGGGCAGTGGTATAAGCATAGGAAGGAGAAGAGAGAGAGAGAAACCAGGGACCCAGTCCTTGGTGACATCCTCGCATGTCTGGGATTTTACTTCCTAGAACTCCACCAGGTTTTTATGGTGACTGTCAAGAGAAATCCCTCCATGCTTTTGTTATTAAGAAGGCTTGCTCTTAGAACAACAACAACAAAAAAGGTTAACCAGAACCAAATCTGCTTATCAAAGAGAAAGATTGGAGGGGATTGGTGGGAAGGGAAATGCCCATCTCCAATCAGCTTTAATCTTCTGTGTGGGAGGTGGGGGTTACCCAAATCCAGGCCTCCAGTTATTCTATCCCAGCTAAAGGGAAGAAAAAACCCTGGGGATCATTTGTGATGGCAAAGTCCTAAGGCTTATGAAATGGTTGAGATTTAATTATAGGATAGAGAGAGAACCCCAGGGCATACTACAAAGTGAAGACCAAGCAAAGACTAAAAATCTCAAACAGGCAAACCCACAGCTTGAACAGGGGTAACATATATCAGAACCAATTCAGACAGGGCAAGGATGTTGGAATTGTACACACAGTCAGGAGGCAGAGAGAGGAATGCTAATGCTCAGCTCGCTTTCTCCTTTTAATTCAGTCCAGGATCCCAACCTGGGTTTCTAACCGTAGTTCAGATGGGTCTTCCTACCCTAATTAACTTCATCTAGATGATTCCTCACAGGCATGCCCAGAGGCGTTTGATCTCCTAGGTAATTCTAGATCCTGTCTAACTGATAATCAGTATCTCACTGGGAGTATGTCCTTGGGGAGTTTATCTTGCCTGGCCCCTTCATATTCCCTTCCTTTGCTTCCTGTCCACCATAAGGTGAGCAGCCTTCTCCACATGATACTGCAGCCGTGATGTTCTGCCCACATGCATGAAAACCAGCAACCATGGACTGAGTCTTCTGACACCAGAACCCAAAATAAATCTTTGTAAGTTGTTTCTATGAGGTCCTTTTCCCAGTGATGAGGAAGCTAATCAATGCAAAGCTATTGACAAAATTTATTCCAAATGGACGTGAAACACAAAACCAACACTTTCTAGATAGCATAGGAAAAACTGAGGTGACTTTGGTGATGACTTTTTTTGCTGTAATTATCAAAGGCACAATATGTGAAAGAAAAATTTGATAGCCTGGACTTAATTAAAATTATTTTTTTTTCTTTCTGCAAAAGAACACAGTGGAGAGAATGAAATGATAAAGCACAGACGGAGAGGAAATACTTGCAAAAGCCATAACTGATTAAGGGCTCTTATTTAAAATATGTAAAAAGGGCTGGGCATGGTGAACAGCACTTTAATCCCTCTACTTGGGAGGCAGAGGCAGATGAATTTCTTTGAGTTCAAGGCTAGCCTGGTTTACATAGTAAGTTCCATGCCAATCAAGGCTACATAATGACACCCTGTCTTTAAAAAAACTAAAACAAAAATAAAATGTACGAAGAACACTGAAAACCCTGGAAGAAAATAAACTGGCTTTTTAAAAAATGAACTGGGTGCTAGGGATATAGCTCAGTGGCTAAAGGACTTTCTGAACAAACATGAAGACCAGAGTTCATAAATGCCCAGTAGCTGTGGTAGCCTACCCATAATTCCAGGCTCAAAAGTGACAGTGGATCTCCAGCGCAAGCTGGTTAGCAGGACTAGTCATGTTGGTGAGCTCTGGTTTAATTGAGACCTTGCCTCAATGATTAAGGTGAGAGAGTTACTGTTACTGAGGGTGATTCCTGACATCAGCCTAAGATCACACTCAGGCACAACCACAGCACACCCACAGCATGCATGTATGCATGCGCACGCGTGCGCACGTGTGCACACACACACACACACACACACACGAAAAAATGAACCGTGTGATTCTGCCAATGTGACTTCACCAAAGAAGTAGGTGGTAAATAGACAGTAGCAAGGTGCTCTGCTCCATGCTGTATGCCATCAGGAAAGTGCAAATCAAAACCACAGGGAGATGTACCCCACATCCATCAAGTGGCTGAATCCTAGAACTGACACCAAGCCGGCAAGTTTGTGGAACAACAGGAACTGTCATTCATTGCTGGGAAGAATGAAAAATTGTTGGTAGGTTCAGCAGTGGGAAAGCTGGTTTTTCATTCTCTCAAAAGCCTATAGGATGAGCAATTGCAGTCCTTGGTATTTACCAATGGAGCTGCAAGTGTGTGTCCACATAACCCTGCCCTGTGGACGTTATGGCAAACTTACTCATACTTGCCAAAATTTGGAGCAACTAAGATATTCCTCAGTAGGTGAATAGAAAAATGACCCACAATACATCAAGACAATGGAATATTATTTTACACTAAAAAAAAAAAAAACAAGCTAGGACCCACGAAAGATTTAGAGGACCCTTAAACCCATATTGCTAAGTGCAAGAAGAGGATTTGAAAAGGCTACAAACTGGTTCCATCTATAGAACATTCTAGAAAAGGCAAAACTATGGAGACAGTGAAAAGGCCAGTGATTGCCAGGCGTGAGGAGCAACCACTATGGGTAAACAGGTACAAAAAGCTGCTGCCCCGTTTTGCATTCCTACTAAATAAATGAATGACAGGCAGTGAAACTTGTACGATTCTGGATGTTGGATATGTGCCACTGAGCATTTGTCGTCAGCCACAGAGTGTCCAATGTGAGTGTGAACCCTGGGGCTGGGTGCATGCTCAGCAGAACACTTGCCTTGTGTGTTCAAAGTCCTGGGTTTGATCCCCAGCATCGAAAAACATAGCCCCAAATCCTAATATAAACTATAGGCTTGTAATGGTGTGTCAAGGTAGGCTTATTAATGGTTACAAATGTATCACTTGGTGGGGAGGAGGGTGCTGGTAATGAGGTGAGCCATGCCATGTTTGAAAGCTGGCGTACATGGGGTACATGTATTTTCTGTTTACATTTTGATGGAATCAAAAACTGTTCTAAAAAATAAAGTCAATTTAAAAAAATTGGATAAACTATGGCTAATTCTATCTCTACTAAGAGACTCAAACAAGATGCAGTGTTAAGATATGAAAGACTCAAATCTCTTAAAGGTTATTGACAACCAACTTCTACCATCCTGTCATCCGACATATACACAGGGAATTAATTCACACCAAACTGAGAATGTTGTGCATGATGCCCTGTCCCTTTTTCTTTGACTATGTAATGAGATTGTTATATGAATGGTAAAAATAAAGTACACACTGTGGACTTTATAGAGTTTTTAACTTAGTGTCTCATTTGCAAACAAAACCTGAGTTTTAGAGAGTTTAGAGTTTGCCTAAAGCTATGTGACTGGTAACCAATTGGGATAAGATTGAAATGGGGGCTTCTATAATGTGTCTTCACTACACAAGTTCACCCGTCTCCCTGAGACTCCACCCACAAAAATAACAGCAAATGTCAGGACTGTGCCACCAGGAACTGTGTAGAGAAACAGTGTGGTAAAGGAGTGGGTCACCCCTGGGGGGAAGTGCAGTCACAAAGGATACACTCTAAGCTGTCAGTTTTGTGATGTCATTGTAGTGGCAGCCTCTGTTTGCTCTGGTTTCATAAGTACTATTTCTTACAATCGTAAGTTACAGGGGACACATAATCGTTTTGTATTCTGTTCAATTCTTTTTCCATTGTGTTGAAGACCATGTTTAAGGTGAGCTCTCCTTTCTCTCTCTCTCTCTCTCTCTCTCTCTCTCTCATGAAGGTATGGCCGACTGGTAGTTTACTTAATATCCTGTTTCGGTGTTGGTGTCACGGGGGTCGTGGTGGCATTCGCGCCAAATTTCCCTGTGTTTGTGATCTTCCGCTTCCTCCAAGGTGTATTCGGAAAGGGCACGTGGATGACTTGCTTCGTGATTGGTAAGACTTCGTTTGCTGCACCCACTGCTCTGTGAGAACTAGGGGACAGGGCATCGTCCTTGGGCCTCCCCCAACAGTAAATACTGGTGGCCTTGTTGCAGTACGGCGAACATGTCCACAAACGGGAGGCAGGCTCAGGGTGGACTCTGGCTGCTTCAGAGACCAAAGTGCTGATTTCAGTTGGGAGCCAGATATAGGATGAAGCACTTCCGGGTACTCTCATACTGGTTAGCCCGCGTTTTCTACCTTTGGTTTTTTAGCAATTAATTCTTATAAAATTTTCAGTAGCTCCTTGGACGACATTTTTAAGCAGTTTATTGTGTATTATGATCTGTGGTATATTAAGATTACTTATCTGTGTTCTCAAATATTTCTTTTTAAGTGCTGGGGATCAAACCCAGGCCCTTTACATGCTAGTCAAGTACGCTGCCAGTGAGCCACATAGCCCCAAACCCAAATATTATTTCTTTAGCTCTCCTTCCATATAAGTGGAGAACATTTTACCATATGTGAGGTATGTCCTAAAAGTGAGGAGTTTATTTTCTAGAAAAATGCATCTTCTAGGTATGAAAGAAAGGAAATTCTACCTCTGCCTCTTGTTCATGTTGCTTGGAAAAGTCCAAAGTGTTCCCTTTGGCTCTAATTCTGGTCCGGGACCAGCCATCTACTTTAAATGGTGGAGAATTTGTGACCAGGGAAATGAGAATGGTCATAGCAAATTATTACCCTGGATCTTTGGGTTTCCACTGCTCCACGAGACTCCATCGGGGTACTCTAGAAGAAACCTTCTGAAGGCCACTGTCTGATGGGAAAAGAGGAGCAGGCACAGGAGGGATTGAACATCAGTGGCCAGAGCACGAGGGACACCTGAATGTGACACACTTTTAATGTGACCCAGGGGCTGCTCAGCATTGGGAGGTGTGTCCCAGGATAATCAAAATGGAAGAAACCAGTTCGTGGGAAGGGCAGACAGAGGAGGACAGGATTCCAGCAACACAATTCCCCATGTGGTTTTTAGAGCTCTGTCACATACATGAAAACTTGAACACTGTGGAATTCCTTAATGAAAACTCTCCTGTGACCGGTGAAAAGTATTTGCAGAGTCTGATGTTCGTAATGACTCTCCCAGAGAGACCGTACTGCAGCAAATCATTAGACAAAGTGATAAAGTTGAGCTGCCCTCTGTGTTTACGTTTGGTCATTATGACCACCTTCTATAACAGCATTATTGAAGCTTTCCTAAAACAAGCATGGGTATTCTTTGTTGTCTCCACCCATGTCTGGAGGGCGCTGGCCTGGATACTTGAGGAGCCAGGCAGAAAAGAGCAGGAGGAACATTTGCAAGGCACCTGGAAAGCCATGGCCAGTATTTCTCCAGCTGTAGACAGACTCCTCTGTGTCCTTAGGGTCTGTGGTGTTCCAGCAGTGCTGACAGTTTTAATGTATAAGGTCTCCCTGCTTGTTTACCTTGGAGCTCACCATGCACTTCCCTAATGTCTTGTGTTTGTTCCCCTTCAGTGACAGAAATAGTCGGTTCGAAACAAAGGAGGATTGTGGGAATCGTTATCCAAATGTTCTTCACCCTTGGAATCATAGTTCTCCCTGGAATTGCCTACTTTACCCCCAGTTGGCAGGGGGTCCAGCTGGCCATCACGCTGCCCAACTTTCTCTTCCTCCTTTACTACTGGTAATGTGGTTTTGGTCACTGTCATATTTATTCTATTCCTCAGGAATGCTGAATCCCAACCAACAGGAAACAGGCAATGGAGGAGGTTTTCTAACATTTCTAGAATGCTCTGAGAACTGCTTGAGAATTTGACAGTTTATAGAGATTGCTGGCTACATGATCAAGAGTTGTCACTGAAAATAATAAAATGCCCCAATACAAAATTCCAAGTCAAGTATTGCTTTGGCGTTTCGCAATGTTTTCATGAGAACTCTGAAGCAACAAGCTGTATCTCCCGGGATTTCAACATGTAGATTAAATGTGAGAAAATCGAGTTGCTTCTCTGTTTTCTATTAAGTGAATTAACATTCTCTGATGACAGAAAATGTGAAGAATATCGGAAACGTAAGTTATCAAGAAGCTACAGGCGTATACATTAGATTCCTACTGCAGTGAATGTATTTTACCAGTCCCTCATTAGATTGTAATGTATGGGCCAATTAGGCTACATGAATGAGGTCTTAGTCTTTTCCTAAATACTCACTAAACCCTAATCCTTTTCATATTTAAACCAAAGACATGATATTGTAGATACTGTCTTAGTTTCATGTCTGGTTTCTGTGATAAAATACCCTGACAAAAGCAGTTTTAAGAAAGGATTTGTTTGGCTTATAGTATCAAGTTATAGTTCATCATTGTGCGGAAGTCAAGGCAAGAACTTGAAGCAGCTAGCTCCATCCAGTTTTAGGAACAGGGAAGGGAAGGAATACACGCATGCTCACTGCTCCGTTCATGTTCTCTACTTCTATACAGTCCAGGATCCAAACCAAGGGGACGTGCCACCCACAGTGGGAAGGTCTTCCCACCTCAATTAATAATCCAGGCAATCCCCTACTGACAAGCCCAGAGACCAACCTAATGTAGGTAATCGCTGATTGAGACTCTACCCAGGTGTTTCTACATTGTGTCATTTGACAGTTAAACCTCACCATCGTGGATACTCTAGTCTTGCAAAAGCAGTATATTATAGATGATTTTCATGAACAAGTTAGTGTTTCCCCAATCATTGTCAATTTGCAAAGAAAACTTGTTTCAGAGAGTCTGATACCAACTTTGAGAACTGTCCCAACTTGTAAGCTAATTGCAAGATCCTCTTGGGTAGAAAAACTCAAGTTATGAGCTTTTAGGGTTCGAAGTAGCTCAAGAAACATCTTCCTCACTAGGGTGGTTCCCGAGTCTCCCCGCTGGCTGATCACCAGGAAGGAAGGCGACAGGGCACTGCAGATCCTGAGGCGTGTGGCTAAGAGCAATGGGAAATACCTCTCCCCAAATTACTCGGAGGTATGTTAATCGTTACTGGTAATAAATATTTTAATTGGGTGAATGAATTATTTATGACTTATGTGCTTAATTTTGCTTCTTAAAATTGTATGTATATTATTAAACATCCGACTAAGCCACTTTTAGTTGAAGCTAATTGATCATTTCAGTTCATATTTTTGGTCTTTTGAGACAGGGTCTTCCTGTAGGCACAGCTGACCTGGAACTCACTATGTGGACCAGGCTGGCCTCGAACTCACAGAGATCTGCCTGTCTCTGCCTCCCAAGTGCTGGGATTAAAGGCCTGCACCACCATGCCTGGCCTTCAGTTCGGATTTTAATATGAACTCTGAGCGGCTTGGGTCGTTATTCTTTACTGTAGATACACAGTACCTACTGATTTACCTTGGCTACAGAAACTGTGACTCTTTTCTTGACATTTGAGTTAGTCTAAAGATTTGGGGTGTTTATCTTGCTGTTGCTTTGTATTTTGCAGACTGGGGTTGAACCTGGGGCCTTGCACGTGCAAGGCAAGCTGTCTTCCACTGCGCTCCAATGCAGCCTTAAGGATTTGTCTTTAAATGTATTTTGGAAATACTATTTATTCAAACAAGACTTTGAGAAATGTTATATTTTATCTTTAGATTTGCATTTTCCTTCCTTCCTTCCTCTCTGCCTCCCTCCCTCCCTCCCTTCCTCCCTCCCTCCTTCTTCCTTCCTTCCTTCCTTCCTTCCTTCCTTCCTTCCTTCCTTCCTTCCTTCCTTCCTTCCTTCCCTCCTTCCTTCTTTCCCTCATTGTTTCCTCTTTGGAAGGGGTGATAAGCAGTTGATGATATGACACATATTTAAACAACCTCTGAATAATTAACATAGAAATCTATGACGGTTATTTGGCTGTAAAGACTAACAGAAGATTATCACTAAGGAACTATTAGATAAGAATTTTTGGAAGATTTATTTAAAGGTTAATTGAAGAAAACTAGTTCACTGATACTGTTTTCCCGCTAGTATTCCATTTGTTTGGAAAGCGACATCCTGTTACAAAACATTCTGCTAAGAGATGGAGTTGGTTGGTTTTATCATCTTCCCTCAAGCCCCGCTTCGTAAGACATACCCAGATCTCTCCTTCCTCCTTCTTGTGAGAAAGGGCAAGCTTTAACCTCTGTGCTTATAAAGAGTTCAATGGACCAGTTTTCAGTGTTGCACACTGGTTAAGGATGAAAGCTCAGATCTACATATCTGGAGTGTGGCAAAGATATAGCATGCCGTTTGTGAACCACGGAGACTAATCCATCCTTGTCACGCTTTTGAGTGACATTCATTTAGTTGAATGAACACATTTGAGAATTCCTTTTAGGGAAAGAAATAGTCCAACTTTCTCCCAACCTGCTCTGGTCTCACTGTAGCCCCTCACAGCTGGATCGAGGTTATGATCATGTGTATTTAGACGGGGGATATGTGTGTGTGTACATATGTGTGTTTGGGTGCACATGTGTGTGCAGATATGTGCATACATGGTGTGTAAGCATGTTGATGTCAGAGGCAATGTCGTTCCTCCAGGACCACTCACATTCTTTTTTCTTTGAGACACAATGTCTCATTGGCCTGGAACTTGCCAAATAGGTTAGGCTGGCTGGCCAACAAGCCCCAGGGATCCATCTGTCACTACCTCCCCAGCATCTGGGACTACCAGACACTACATTGCTTTGTCTATATGGGTTCTGGATAAGAAACTCAGGTCCTCATGGTTGCAAAGCACACACTCTACTACTGAGCTATCTCCCCAGCCCCCAGTTTTAATGGTTAAGCAAATATTTTTACTATGCACTTAGCAATATTCTGAAGATTCTGCACACATAGGTCCAGAGGAGTAAGATCTGTATCAAGGTTTGTGAGGACGTAGAAACAATAGCTAAGATGCTGTGGTGGTTTGAAAAAGAATGTCCCCCATAGGTTCTGAGTACTTGAACACTTGGTCCCCAGTTAATGGCACTGCTTGGGGAGGTCATGGAACCTTTAGGCAGCATGGTCATGCTAGAGGAAGCATGTCACTGGGGTCTGGCTTTGAGAGTTCAAAGCCACATCCCACCTCCAGTTTTTCTCTCAGCATCCTATGCCTGTTTGAAGATGTGAGCACTCAGCTTTCTGCTTCAGCCACCTCTACTGCCATGCCTCCCCTACTGCCACGCCTCCCCACCATGAAGAGCTCCTACAGCTCTGGAACCATTAGGCAAATAAACTCTTCCTTCTATAAGTTGCCTTGGTCATGATGTTTTATCACAGCAACAGGAAAGTAACTAATACAGACATTGGTACCACAGAGTGGGCTGTTGCTGTGAAGAACCTGATCATGTTGGATTTTGAAGCAATGTGGAAGACTTAGGAAGTTCGTAATAGATAAACAATTTAATGCTCTACGCAGCGCTTAATGGGGCAGTCTAGTAGGAGCCTGGAAGAAAGTAGTGCTGAGAACAGTGTAGTTCCAGAGGGAAATAAGGACTTAAGCAGCAACTGGGATATTTGGGCAAAGAATCTGGCTGCTGGCTGCCCTAGGCCCAAGAACATGCCTGAGGCTAAGTTGAAAAGTAATGGACTAATTTCTTTGCTGGAGGAATTTTCAAGACACCTTAATGTAGAATTAATGGCATAGTTGTTAATGATGAATATCATGACGATCTACAATGAAAAAGAGCAAGTGAGGTTCACGAATTAGAGAATGTACAGTTTGGAGAGAAAGAGAGCACTAGGAAACCTAATAATGTGGAAGTCAAGGCATGTGCTGAAGGAGAGGCTCTCCGATAAGAACATTAGAGGCATTAAGGAGAGGCCTCCAGATTTGCACTACAACAATGGAAAAAAACCCTCATGGCAAGACCCCACCCAGTGAAGCTTCCTTGTGGAAGGAAAAGGCTAAGGAGTCTCCCACTCCTAGAAAACCACAAAGTATGAAAACAGAAGCTAGTAATGTGGACCAGTCAGCCAAGGCCCACCTCCAGCTGGCAGTGGAGCTTGGCTGTGTTGTTCATGTGGTGCTGGCTTTAGAGGGATGAAGGGGTGATCAGTTCTTCCTCTAAGGTTTCATAGAGCTGGGAAGTCCAGACAACAGGCAGCAGACGAGTCCCTGCATGAAGAAGGCCCTGGGAGGTCATTGTGTGAAGCTGGGAAGGTGAAGCCTGATTGGCAAGGGCAACCCCAAGATGTTAGAGATGCCAGAGCTGTGAGACATCTGCCAAGGAGAGCAGTATACAGGGAATGGTGAGAGAGAGAGAGGGAGGGAGGGAGGGAGAGAGAGAGAGAGAGAGAGAGAGAGAGAGAGAGATTGTGTGCAGCAAAGCTGGAATGGCTGAGCCATCTAAGTCCTTTGGATGTAAAGTCCTAGATATTGGACATGGAACTACTGGATTTGGTGTTTGCCCTGATGGTTTTCAGTCTTGCTTTGGTCTGGTATTTCCTCAATATGTCTACATTCCTCCCTTTTGGAACAGGAATATATATTGGGTTCCATTGCCTGTTGGAGGTAATGTAATTTGTCTTTGATTTTATAGGGGCTTACAGTTAAGAGATTGTTATGAGTCTCAGAAGAGACTTTGGACTCTGGACTTTTGAACAGTGTTGAGATGGTTAAAAACTATGGGGACTTTTGAAGTTGAACTAAATGCATTTTGCATTATGGTAAGGTCATGAGTTTATGGGGGTTAGGGAGTGGAATGTGCTAGTTTGAATGAAAATGTCCCCCATAGGCTCTAAGCACTTGAACACTTGGTCCCCAGTGTGTAGTATGGTTTGGGGAGGTCATGGAGCCTTTAGGCGTGGCCATGCTGGAGGAAGCCTATCCCCGGGGGTGGGCTTTGAGAGGTCAAAGTCATGTCCCACTGCAGCTTTGTTCTCTGCTTCCTGTGCCTGTTTGAAGATATGAGCACTCAGTTTTCTGCTCTGGCTGCCTCCTGCCACGCCTCCCTGCCAGGATGGACTTGTATCCCTCTGGACCCGTTAGCCAAATAAACTCTTCCTACTTTAAGTTGCCTTGGTCATGGTGTTTCATCACAGCAACAGAAAATGAACTAATACAGATGTTGATGGTTTATGAAATAAAGGGCAACAGCCTCCAGGCGCATTGTGTCTAAGGGTGAGCATCCCTGGATGACCGTGCTGTCCCACACCCTATCTGGTTCAACATCGCTCCCAGTAACCCACTATAAAGATCATTTCAGGAAAGTAACTTAGTGTTCTATATGGCTATGCTTTCAAAAGATCCTGAACTTGAGGTCTGGTGGATTCTAAATCATCATGACTCTGATTTTAAGCTAGTAGAGAGGAGGTTTCCACCAAGAGCCAGATTTAAGTCAGCCCTGATTCTCTAAGGCTTTACTGTGACCTCCCAGCTTTACTGTTGGTATTTTGCTATTTCACTATAAAAAGCTACATTTTGTGTTCTTGTTTATTATTTATGAGATTTTGTTGTTATTCCAGTGAGTTTTTTCTTGACTATATTTTCACTAAAATTTTTAATACAGATATTTTCAAATCTGCTTAAAAAAAAAAAAAAAGAAAGAAAAAAGCCAAAGGGGATGACTGTTCACCTAGTCACACATCACCCAGACCCACGATCAGCAGCTGGTGAGATGCCTGGCTCCCTGTGCTCCACCTTCTCCCCTCTCCTGGCAGATTGTCTCAGTGGGCATGTCACTGCATCTTGTAACAGTTTCCTGTGACAGAGAAGCACGGGTATGCTTACTCAGCACAGGGACAGTGCATGTCCCCAGAGTACTGCTGAATGAACAGAAAAGAGATACTAGTTTGACTGTCAAGATCCAGGTCATCAGGACTTTGATCCAGCTGTGAGGACAGATTATTAAGGTGAGAGCAGATTGGGAGGGCAGTGATACCTAAAATACAGTCTCAGTATCATTAATCTGAGGACAGATCATCACAATTCCCTAATGTGACCTGACTCCTAGGAGGCAAATCCTCAGGGCACAATTGTAAGGGATCGTGTCCATTAAAATTTAGCCTTAATGACT